TCCAGCCACACACCCCTGCCGCCCGCAGCTTCTCCTGCACCATCTTCACCTTCGGCCAGACCGGCTCCGGGAAGACCTACACCCTCACGGGGCCTCCTCCCCAGGTAGGCTGAGCTCCCCTGCAGGGCCAGGGGTCGGTGGGGAGCCGCTGACAGCGCAGGCTCCCACAGGGAGGGCCTTGGACAGTGCGACTCAGCCCCATGTATTTGCAGACAAGGAAACTGAGGCCCAGAGAGGTGAAAGGATTTGCCCAATATGGACTTCAAATTTTGTCCCTTTTTTAAAAAAATATATGCTTTTTATTGGTTTCAGAGAGGAAGAGAGGGAGAGAGAAAGAAACATCAATGATGAAAGGGAGTCATTGATTGGCTGCCTCCTACATGCCCCCTACTGAGGATAGAGTCCACAAAGGGGGTGGGGGGCAGGGTGTGTCCACCTTTGACCGGAATCCAACCTGGACCCTTCAGTCCCCCAGGTGGACGGACGCTCTAGCCACTGAGCCAAACCAGCTAGGGCAAATTTTGTGCCTTTTACTGACAAGCTCAGAGCCTTCCTGTGAAATGGAAGCGAGAGTACTGACTGTGAGAAGTAAATGAGATGTTATAGGGAACTTGGCCTAGCTCCTGAGGCATAGTAGCTAAGGGCGCCAGGAAGGGTAGTTATTACTGTGGTAGTGTTTCTGCCCCCAGGGAGAGGGGGTGCCTGTACCCCCCAGCCTGGCTGGCATCATGCAGAGGACCTTCGCCTGGCTGTTGGACCGTGTGCAGCACCTGGGCACCCCTGTCAGCCTCCACGCCTCCTACCTGGAGATCTACAATGAGCAGGTGGGGACGGAGATGAATGAAAGCGCACAATGGATTGGAGGCCTTGCTTCCCAAGGAGCTTGGGTCGAGGGGCAGAGTGGGGCTGGGGGGGTGGTAAGGGTTGGACTCGGGCCCCTTCCCTCACACACCACCCTCATCTCCCAGGTTCTAGACTTGCTGAGCCTGGGGTCTCCCCGGCCCCTCCCTGTTCGTTGGAACAAGACTCGGGGCTTCTACGTGGAGCAGCTGCGGGTGGTGGAGTTTGGGAGTCTGGGGGCCCTGATGGAACTTCTGCAGATGGGTACGTGCTGTCTCGGGAGCTTTGGGGTACAAGGGAAGCCCGTCCCTCTACTGCTCACTGAATGCACTGGGGGCCCCTGGCTGGAGCTGTGGGTGACCAGAGATGACCCCTGTGGGAGCTAAGGGCCAGCAAAACAACAATTCAGACACCGCCCAAGGATGTCCCCCATCCCACCCAGACCTCCTGCTGATTCTGCCTTTCACACTCTTTCTGGGCCCACCCTCTTTCCAGTCCAGGACCTCTGCCTCAGTCCGCCTCTTTTTTTTTCTTCCTAGAGAAATCTTCCCAACTCAAGGCTCCTCCTTTCCAATCTGTGCTCTTCCTTGCGGCAAACCACATCCCTCTTCCCCTCCAGACCCTCCAGACCCTTCCAATGTCCTGAGGGCGAAGGTCACGCCTATAACCTAGCCTATAGGGCCCCTCTGTTCCAGTCTCATTCATTCATCCAATGTTTATGAGATATCTCATTATTCACCCGCAGCCTGCTGGCTGGTCCTGGGTGAGACTCCAGGCTCCTGCCAGCGTTATGCCAGCTGATCTCTCTGCTCGCTCTCCGCCCTTCACACGGCCGTTTGAGGGATGTTTATCAACGGTGACTCTGACTGACATTCTTCCACTCAGTTCTGTCGATTCCCCTCTCACCTGCTCGTGCTAGAGCCGGACCCCTCATCCCATCATTCTTTCCCCGCCGCCTCTGCACAGGCTGGCCCCTCCCTCCCCAGGATGCCTTTGCTCCTTTTCTGCTATTGCTCCTCCTGTCAGGTCCAGCTCCTGCTGCTTTCCCCTCCAGGTCTTAGCCGCCGAAGGAGCTCAGCTCACACCCTGAACCAGGCCTCCAGCCGAAGCCATGCCCTGCTCACACTCCATATCCGCCGCCAAACCGTGAGTGGCCCGGCTTGGGGAAGGAGCTGGCGCCGGGTCCTCAGCCAGGGTCCGCCTCAGGGTGTAGAAAGCAACTCGGGTGTGCACAGGAGGACGTAGTGGAAACCAAGCCCTGACCCCCCAGTCCCAGCAGATGCCTCCCGTGGGTCCCGGGGAACACCCTGCCGGAGGGAAGCTGTGCTTTGTAGACCTGGCTGGCAGCGAGAAGGTGGCGGCCACCGGATCCCGTGGGGAGCTGATGCTCGAGGCCAACAGCATCAACCGCAGCCTGCTGGCGCTGGGTGAGTCCCTCCTCTTGCCCGGCCTGTAGCTGTGCAGGAAGAGGGGAGCAGGGGAGGAGGAGGAGGAGACAGGGGTTGTAGTGCATGAAGAGCTGTGAGCCAGGGGCCACAGGCCTCCTTCCGGCCTCAGCTTGCTGTTGACTTGGGTCTCCCCTCTTAGAACATTGTTGATGAACCTAGAAACCCCATAAACTTGATTCTATTAGAATAAAGCTGCATTTAACCTGGGAGGTAGGCACCCTCAAGTGCAGAGCATGAGCCCTCAGACACTCAGCCTGTCCTCGTGCAGTTGGGAAAGCGGAGGCCCAGCAAGGGGAAGAGGGGACAGACCTGTCTCCCACCTCCACCCCCGAGGGCCTTCCTCCGCCGCGTGCTGAGGAGCCTCTTCATTCAGTCCATTTGCCAGACATTTCCTGAGCCCCTGCTGAGAGCCAGGCCCTGTGTTGGGCATTGGGGTGTGGGTGCAGGTCCCTGCTCTGCACAGACCAGCTGCGTGGCCTTGGGCAAGGGGTATAACCTCGCTGGGCCTTCTCTTCCCACCCAGGCCACTGCATCTCCCTGCTGCTGGACCCGCGGCGGAAGCAAAGCCACATCCCCTTTCGAGACAGCAAGCTCACGAAGCTGCTGGCGGACTCACTGGGGGGGCGCGGGGTCACCCTCATGGTACCTGAGGGGGGCTGGCAGGGAAGAGTGGGGCTTGAGGGAGGGGCTCCCAGAGAGGAACACTCAGGGGCATCCTCCCCAGGTGGCCTGCGTGTCGCCCTCAGCCCAGTGCCTTCCTGAGACCCTCAGCACCCTGCGATACGCCAGCCGAGCTCAGCGGGTCACCACTCGGCCGCAGGCCCCCAAGGTGAATGGAGGCAGACACAGGCCGAGGGTGGCGGGGGCGATGGTTAGGGTCAGGCAGTAGTTGGAACCTGAGTTGGTGTCACAGTTGAAATCTGGGATTGAGTCAGAGTTAGGATGAGAGTTGAAATCTTGATGATGGGGCCATGACTGGGTAGGATGGGGTCAGGGTCAGGGTCACGGTCAGAGTTGTGGCAGGTCTCAGGTTGGAGTCTGATTTGGGATATGATTCAGGGTCCAGCCTGGATCCCAAGTGGTATCATGATTAAGTCTGAGTTGAGTTGGGGTCTGATGTGGAGTCTTGTTTGGGTTCTGAACCAAGATTTGAACAGAACTTACTTTGGGTTGGACTTGGAGCAGGGTCCAGCTTAGAGGGGGCCCTGCTGGCACGCAGCGGAGGCCATAGGCACTTGGATGCATTGGGACAAGGTGGCCCCTCCAGGTGGACGTAGCCTTGTGCCAGGATGCAAAGCCTGTGAGGGAGGTATGGGCTGGTTTCTAGGCTCCCTCACTCCCCACTCCCGGAGCCCTTGCATGACTTGTGCCACTGCAGGTGGCAGCTCCGGGCCCCTCTCTCTGCAGTCCCCTATGGCAAAGCAGCCCCAGCGCCTGGAAACGGAGATATTGCAGCTCCAGGCGGAGAACCGCCTTCTACGGTCCCAACTGAGCCAGATGGACCTTAAGGGTATGAGCTCCCTGGGGGTGCAGGTGGGACGTGGAGAGCATCTGGGCTCCTGTGGACCCAGCCATCTCCCCCTTCCCTGCAGCCTCTGAATTCAGTGGGACCCGCGTGGCCTGGGCCCAGCAGAACCTCTATGGGATGCTCCAGGAGTTCATGCTGGAGAATGAGAGGCTCAGGTAGGGCCTCGCCAGGGGACTCCGTGCCCACCCCTCACTGCTGGGCTGCTTCTGCCAAGCGGCCCCCTCTCTGCTCCCTGACTCCGTTCTGGCCCCACCTACCTGCTGGGGCTCATACTGCCCTGCAATGCGGGGCTGACTGATACCCCCACCAGCCCTGCTTCCTGTCACCTCCCTGGGGCCTCTTCTTCCCAGGAAGGAAAAGAGCCAGCTGCAGAGTAGCCGGGACCTGGCCCGGGATGAGCAGCGCGTCCTGGCCCAGCAGGTCCACGAGCTGGAGCGGTGAGCACAGCCACCAGCCCAGGGACAGGCCTTGGGACAGCGGGCAGGTGGGAAAGGGAACGGTTAAGAGTCTGACCTCTGGATTCAGACCACCTGGGTTCCAATTCCAGCTCTGGCGCCTACTAGCTGGGTGACCTTGGTGAGTCATGCCGCCTCTCACTGCCGGGTTTCCTCAGCTGTAACATGGGGGTGATACGGTGCCCACCGAATAGGGCTGTTTTAAAGGTTGGATAGAATGAGTTCATATGTTGAGCACTGCGAACGGTGCCTGGCACGCCGTAGTGCCCAGGGGTATTTGTTAAAACGGGGGATGTGGGGACCAGCCTGGTGGTAGGGTGGAGGGCTGCAGGCACAGACCCCCTGTTCTTTCCAGGCGCCTCCTCTCTACCTGCTACCTCCACCAGCCCCCCCTTGGCCCAGCCCCACCATGTCCCTGTGCGATGGTGCCAGCTCCCTCCTGCCATGTGAGTCTCTGCCCAGCCGGAAGGGGGAGGAGCAGGGATGACAGGGAGCCTCTGACATGCCCTCTTGCAGGTCCTGCCACCCCTCTGCTCCTGCCCCTGCTGCCACCTCTGCCCCCTGTGCCGAGCCCCACTGGCCCACTGGGCCTGCCCACGGAGGGAGCTCCACCTGCCCCAGGTAGGAAAGGCCACGGTGGGGGTGAGGGGAGTCTAGGAGAGCTGGAGGCCATGGGGAAAGTGGCTGATTGGGCTCCTTCTGCCCAGGGTTCAGAATCACTGTTTACCTCGCCTCCCTCTTCCATCCTGCCTTCTTTTAGGAACTCGCTCTGCCATTTGCTTCTTCTTTCCTTCACTCACATGCTACTCATTTATGGATTTGCTTATTCACTCCTTCACTCTCTCACTCACTGACTCTCCTCTAAGCTCTTTGCTTTGTGCCAGCCCCTGTTCTGGGCACTGAGGATTCTGCCCACAGAAGAAGTAACCAAGACCCCACCCCTTTATGCCCATCTGGCAGTCTTGGTGCCTCCTGGGGCAGGTGTGGTAGGGCTGGTGGCATTGTGATCAGCACCTGGAAGTGGGGCACAGAGAGGCAGGGCTGAGGTCGCCAGTGTCGGCTGTGGTCTTTCTTGCAGGTGTTTGGCCCTAAGGCCCCTGACGGCATTCCCCTGTCTGCCCGGCCCCCACCCTGGGTGCCCCCATGCAGCCCTGGCTCTGCCAAGTGCCCCAGAGAGAGGTGGGCCCAGCCTGGGGCAATGGGGTGCGGGGGGGGGTGGCAGGAGGCCTGGGCACTTGAAGGCTCACCTCCCACCACCCAACTGCCCCTGGCCCAGGAGTCACAGCGACTGGACTCAGACCCGAGTCCTGGCGGAGATACTCACCGAGGAGGAGGTGGTACCTTCTGCACCTCCCCTGCCTGCGGGGCCCCCGAACACGTCACCAGTGCTGAGAGGTGAAGAAGGGAAAGAGGGAGGAGCCCCTGGGGTTTTCTGTGATCTTGGGCCAGAACGCACCCTCTCCGGAACATAGTCTTTCCATTTCTGAAATAGGGCACATGTTAGGAGGTAATTCCTAAGGTCTTTCTAGTTTCCAAACTTGGAATTCTCTTCCTAGGGCCACCTTCATGCCCAGATGTATACCAAAGCCCAGGGTGTATGTGAGGGGTGGGGGAGGGGCAGGGGCGAGTAGGTACCATCTGAAGCTTCCCCAGAGGATGTTGGGACCTGATGACCCCAGGGTAGTGCAGGCCTCGAGTGTCACCGTACCCCTCAGGTGGGGCCACGGTTCCGAACCTGGCCCGGAGACTGGAGGCCCTCAGAGACCAGATCGGCAGCTCCCTGCGGCGGGGCCGGAGCCAGCCACCCACGCATGAGAGCAAACGGAGCCCTAGCCGAGCCCTCCCTCCCTGCTGAGCGCAAAATGGAAACACAGGAGACTGCGTGTGACCTTCGGCCGGGCTCTTTGCTCTGGGGCTTCAGTCTCTCCATCTATTAAATGGGGATAGCAGCTGCCCATCCATTCTGCAGTCTGGCTGGGCAAGGACCATTCCTGAGGGTCGGGGTGACGGCTGGAGGGCCGTTTGGGGGAGTAAAGGGAGGGTGCCACCCCAGACTATGAGTAATGAGACTGGATTCAGGAGAAGAGGAAACGTACCGAGGTTTCAGATGAAACGTACATGACAATAAAGAGGCCTCAGCTCCTGTCTGGCTGGTCCTGTCCTTTGGGTAGTCACTCACTTCCCATGGGGACATCCCAGATGAGGGGTTCTCGGGGGAGCCTGAGGAGGAGAAGGCAAGGACTCTTGGCAGAAGTGTGTGTCCCCTTCTGATCAGGAACATTCCAGGTTCCATCTCCTTTCCTGTATTACACGCATTTTAACTGAGCAACTATTATGCGCCACTGGGACAGCATGGGGAATCGAATGATGAGCGCCTCCAGGAAGGAGACCTGAAGGAAACGAAGTTGGCCTTGAGCTGGGGCAGGTGGCGGGCTGAGGGGCTGGCTTCTCTGTGCCCCTGCACGTGGCCTGGTGCCTGAGGGACCATGAGCCCTGCGTTCTGGTGCCACAGGCCTCCTCTGAGATCCTGAGCAAGCCCTGCACCCTCCCCAGACCACTTTCTGGTTTTCAGTCAGTCGGATGGGGGGCACAGTTCCCTGTCCTGTTGAGCTCTAGTGAGGGTCAGGGAGGTGAGGAACCTCAGGATTCCTAGTACATGCTTAGCAGGGTGCAGTGGGTCTACAATTAAGGGGAAGCCTGGACATGACATGAGAAATTGGAGGTGCTAGTGGGAGGACCTCATTATAAAAAGAGCCACACGGCTAACCTAACTGTCCCATTTTACAGTTAGGGAAACTGAGGCCCAGATGGCTAATTCCTTGGTTGGTTCCGGCACTCACTCTTTCAGGAACACCACCGGCATCCACTCCAAATCAAGGTGGTGAAAGACTGACAAGGAGCAAGCTGGCTTTGACCAGGGAGCTCACAGTCTGGTGGGGGAAAGACAGACATTGACAACCTCACACATGTGCTTTGAAGGGGAAGCATGGAGGAAGGCCCCCCACTCAGAAATTGTTGAGGGTGTCAAAGAAGGTTTGCCGAAGAGCTATGATAAAGGCCCAGAAGGTGAACACAGGTGGAGGGAGGGGCTGTGAAGAAAAGGCCCAGAGACCCTGATGTTCCAAAGGCGGCCAGCAGCAGGCAGAGCACGGCCTTGTGGGTCACATCCGGAGCTTGGGCTTGTCTCGAGGACAGAGGAGAGCCACAGAGGGGTCCTGAGGAGTCACCAGCTTAGATCTGCATTTGGGTCACACTAGCCACTGTGGCAGGTGGGCTGATTGGTGATGGTGAGCCGGAGGCAGGGGGACCAGTAACATGACCAGTGCAGGGAGGCGATGAAACTCCTCAACCAGAAGTACCTGAGCTGGGCCTCGTGTCGGAGTCCCCTGAGACCCGGACCCTGGGCTCTGGCGAGGCCTCAAGCAGGCCAGCTTCAGCCACGGGCTTGGGGAGCACTGGGAAGGAGCAGGGAGCCGGGGATGCCCTAAGCAGGGGGTGGCAGTCATCACTGGAGAATGCTCAGGCTTGCCCACAGGCATGGCCCGAGAAAACAAGTCCCGTTGCTCCCACCCCACTGCCCAGTGCAAGACCAAGCAAGAAAACACCCAGTGCTCGCCTACCCACCATGCTGGGAAATAGCCCTAATTATACTCTCCTGTCCCAAGAGAAGTGAGGACCCACAGACTAAAGCAAGGCGCCTCACAGCGACACTTGAGCATGCTGTGTGACTTGGGGCAGGCGACTTGGCCTCTCTGAGCCGTCCACACTGTAGGGCCTCTGACTGAGTCTCTGCAGGGCTGGTCCCTGAAATGGGCCAGCAGGGTCAGCCCAGGTTGGAGCCCCCAGCAGCCAGGAATCGAAAGGCAAGACTTGTATTTAACAGTGAAAACTGTGGATGGACAGTGACCATGGAGGCAGAGCCCAGGGCGCTGAGGTAACAGCAGACACCACCGGCAGCTGGGCCAGATAGAGGTAGCTGTGGTTAAGCCCACAAGTTCAAATCCCGGCGTCATCACTTATCCAGGAGTGATCCCGGGCAGGTGGCTTAGCTGCTCTGAGCCTGAGTGGCCTCATCTGCAGAATGGACACAATAGTAGCCCCTCTCGGGACGGTCACGGGGATTAAATCCACTGCTATGTGGAAGGAGGACATCACGAAGCTTTGCCTATTGCAGACGAGTTAACCAAAAGCAACTTGCAGTCAACAAGACAATTCGATGGAATTGACCATCTGGATTTTAAAAATTAATAATCCAACCAATATTTATTGGGAACCCACTTTGGGCCAGCATTGAACAAAGCATAAGGATCCTTATCCTCATGGATGAAAAGAAAATGGGCAACATATGCGGGAAGTCAGGGATAAAAGCTGTGGAGCAAAACAGTGGGGAGGCCCCTCGGCCAGGGCAGGTGCAGCTCTACATCAGAGGCAGGAAAGGTCTCATGCAGGTGACATTTGTGCAGAGGCCCGAGGGAGTGGGGGAGGATGAGCCTGACATGCCACAAAGTCACTTTTCCTGCTCTAGGTCACTTTGATGCCACATCAGCTTGGGTGGCTCCGTATTTGTGAGCCTGGGCTCCTTCCCTGCCCAGAGCCCTTATCTCACTCTCTGTATCGTGGCCCTGCTTGCTGGGAGGTCTCCGGCCTCAGGCAGGGAAAGCCCCTGGCACCGAGCGTGAGACTTTCCTTAGCTGCCTTGGGAGGGTGGACAGGGACCACCCAGGGGGACCCTGGCTGTTGCCGGTTCATTTGTGTTTGGATGATTCCTTTTCCCATTGGAACCAGCCACGATTTTCCAGTTTCCTAGTTCCAGCTCAGCAAAGCACCCACTTACTTTCCCAGAGATAGACACAGGATGCAAGGGGATAAGTCTCCACTTCCCCCATCTCCCAGTCATAGGCTCACTCTAGAGCTGCCACTTGTCCAGACCCCTAAGCACTAGGAATTCCATGGGACCCAGTAATGTATCAGGATCTTCGAATCCAGCGGTCCTTCCTGAGAATGTGTGAATTGTAGAGGACACGCCTGGAACCCTGAAAGCTATAGGCCTTCCCCAGAATGCTGGGGTTTGGGGTTCTTTGGCCCCATGAAATAAGGTCGTAAGTTCTCCAGAAGAGTGAGACTTAGAAGATGGTCTCTGGTACCTCAGAACATTAGAACTGGGGGCAGCTCTGGGAAATCCTGAAACACTGAAGGGATTTGCCAGAATTCCGAATCCCTGAATGATCTCTCTGAAATTTTAAAACGTTATGTAGAAGTTAGAAGGAGTCTCTGGAATCTTTAGCTGGGGTTGGGGATGTTCATCAAGAGCTCGAGGATCATCAGAAGTTTCTAGAACGCTGGCCAATCTAGAGAGCGACCTAGATGTCTAGGGCCCAGTTTGAGTTCTCCAGATCCTTGGGGACCCGACTCCTAGCCAGCGCAGGATGGGTTGTAGGACAGCACACGCATCAGGAAGATCACTCCTGGGGATTCTTGTGTTTAAAAGGCCCCGAGGCCTCATGAGGTGAAGTCAATGGGAGAGTGTGTGAAGACCCTACTGCCAAGAACATCTCTGTCTGCTTTGGCCACACCAGCCTTCACTCACACCAGCCTTTCTCTCACTCAGGGTCTTCCTTCTCTTTATCTAAGGATACATTTGCTCCAAATTCATATTTATTCAATGTTATATACAACATTTCATCCGCTTTGAAGGATATTTTGTGTCCTCTTAGGTGACTTTTTCCATTTTCATCTTCTGGCTGAGCTTCCAAAGGACTCATCTTCCTTTATTTTAAGCAAACACACAGGTGGGGCAGGTAGGGGTGACTGAGATGACGTCACCCTATGTCCTCGGAGGGACTAATATAGCTCTTTTCTGTGAAGTAGAACTACTCTGTGAAGTAGGTCTGGCTATGAAACAACGAGCAGCAGCTACTGGAACTTGTAGGTAGGTTGGAGCTGTGGTTGGAGACCAGGACTGGAGCCAGGAGACCTGGGTTTGAAGCATGCTGCAACAGACCTACTCTGTGAGCCAGACAAGCCCCCCGGCCATCAAGGAAGACCTTTGGAAGTTGGCCCGAGACATCTTCCTCAAGAGCCTTCATTCAGCTCAGGGCTCTGATCACACTCTCTCTCATCCATCACACACTTACTAAGTCCCTACTTGAAGGCCAGGCCTGCTCGACTGGGCATGGGAGACACTGGCCTGATCTGCTCCCAAGGAGCTTCCAGACAACTGGGGGGAAAGGACAATAAAAGTGACAATTGGTAGCCCTGGAATAAATAACAATTAGCAAACTTATGTGGTGCCAAGCATTGTTCCCAATACTTGCCATGTATTAACTCGCTGATTGCTTATAACTGCTCTGTGAAGTAGGTCCCATTACTATCCTCGTGTTGCAGTTAGGAAACCAAGGCAAGAAGAGGTTCAGGAACGTTTCCAAGGTCATACAGCTAGTAGGTGGCAGAAGTGGGATTGGTCCCGGGGTGGTCTGTCTATTTGTACCCGGGTGGTCTTGATTATGTGTCTTCAGCAACCATGCCAAGTGCCACCCAATAGGACCACAGAGGAAGGGCAAATAGAGGAGCAGTTTCCATCCAACTCAGGAACCTCTGAGCACATGGGGCAGCCTCCCTGGAGAAGTTGGTCTCCATCAAAGCCCAGCACAGCCCAACAAGGCCAGACCATGCCGAGGTCTTTGATGAGGCAGAGGATGGGACTTCCCAAGGTCTTTTCCCTCCACGGAGGAACCCTCACCAACCCCAAAGATAAAGGGATTCTTTACAAACGACCCAAATGAAGCAGGCTTCTGGGAAGCCTGAGCTGGAATCAAGAGAATTAGAAATGAACCCTAAGGTCTAACCTTTGTGTCTCCCAGCTCCGAAATCTTGGGCACACCCACTCCCTCTCTCAACCCCACATTGAGCTGTGCGAGCCTGAGCAAGGTGGTTAAGGTCTCTGAACCTCAGTCTCCTCCTCTGTAAAGTGGGGCTAAGGTTGGCTTACCCTGTGAGAAGTTAATAAGCGCTCATAGGGGATGATGTGAGGATTGAAAGAGTGGATCCATATACACTGTATAGGACAGAGCCTGGCATGCGGTCAGAGCTAAATAAATGCTAGTTGTTATTACTATTTTTATTACTAATGGATGCTCTCAGCACAAACATACTGCCGTCCCCATACTCACAGGAGAGGAATTGCATGCATATCTGGACTCCGGTGACAGACTCATGAACTCGCTGACGTCAGCTCTGCCGGCTCCTTCCTGCAAGGATTCTTCCAGGGAGAGAAGTGTCCATTCAG